TCCAGCAGGTACCAATGGCAAGAGCACGGCTTCGGCCTGTGAGCGCTGATCATATTGTCTCCTCATTTTCACAGCTCTTCAAAACAGACATAGTTTTTTTCCTTCTGAAAAGAATTTTGATAAAATATCCCTACCATCAAACTTGCCTTTATAGTCACTTTCAAATGTCTATACGTACATCCAACCCACTCTCATTGTTGAGAGGCCACTATAACCATTCAGACAGTTCCTTTGGGCTTTCCAAACTAGGACTCCATGCCCATGAGATAACTTCCATGGCCCTTCTCACTCCCCACGGCCCCCAGCCTGCTTTCTGTCTCAGTGAAGTTGACTTTTCTAGTGACCTCTCATAGATGGAGTTAGTAGAGCCCATCTGTGTGTGTGTGTGTGTGTGTGAGAGAGAGAGAGAGAGAGAGAGAGACAGAGACAGAGACAGAGACAGAGACAGAGACTGGTTTCACTCAGTGTGAGGTTCTCAAATTCCACCCATGTTATTGCTTTGTCTTTAGGCCATAGAATAGTCCCTGGATGGTGTGTTTGCTTTTGTGCTGGTATGATAAAACACCCCTCAGAACAGCTTGTGGGAGGGACTTTCAGTCTGTAGGCCTCGGCTCTGATGGTTCTAAAATTCGGAAAACGGCAGAACATAATGGTGGCATGTGGCAGAGGCTACTCGGCTTGGGGCAGACAGGAAGACATGGGGCAGACAGGAATGGAGAGATAGAGAGAGACAGGTATCAGTCTGGGACACGACACAGGCTCCTAATGACCTGTGTCTCCCAGCTAGGCACTTCCTCTTAACATTTCCAGATCCTTCAAAAATAGTGCCACCAGCTGGTGACTGACCTTTCAGGAACTGCCCTTGTTGAGGAACGCATCATATCCAAGCTATAACCTATGGGGTAAACCACTTTACTTCTCCATCCCTCTGTAAATAGACACTGGGGGCCTTCACCTTTGGGCTATTGTAAACATTGGAGCCATGAACATGAATGTGAATATGTCTTTGATTAAGGGATACCTGTAAGCTTCTGAAAACTGAAATTTCTCCGTGTTCATCAAATAAGTGGGAGAATCAGTTCTTGTCACTCCAATGACAAACGTCCTAACCACTGTACCATCCTGCCCCTAAAAGTCATGAATTTTAACATAAAATTCCTTAGGTTCAGTGCATCGCTCTGCCATTCACTGATTGACTATAACATTCAACACGTCACGTCCCCTCCTGGAGCTGCTGGCTATGGTTAGGAGAATGTAGAGCCATGGGCTCAATCATAGTTGTCATTACCCAAGGGGGAGGAAGTTCGTAGGAAAGAGACTGTCCCAGGTTTATAAATGTAAGTGACAGCAAGGTGGGAATAAAAGGCACTGCCCGGGGACCGGGAGACGAGAACCTTGTCCAGGGCAGCCTCTCAGCAGGCCTTTTCCCTCTCTTCTGGGTCTCGGTTTTTCCTCTATTGTTAATGTACTGTTTTACAGATAATTGCCAAGGTCTTTGTGTTCTGGAAACTTCTAGACTGTGACCTCCATGTATAAGGAAAGGCCTGAGTGCCGCAGCCAGCCTGGGATCAAACCTGGGATGTGTCTACACTTTGGGTAACCTTGACCCAGAGACACTCACCATGCCAGCCTTGGATTTCCTCATTACTGAAAATGCAAGGGGACAACAGAGCCTGTGTCACTGGCCATCTGAGGATTTGTCAGATGGTGTGCCTGGTGTGATCTAGGGCTCAGTGGAGGATGGATATCAAGATGAATATTCACCAGGAGGCTGCCCCTATTTGTTGTTGTTGTTTTTGGTTTTTCGAGACAGGGATTCTCTATATAACAGCTCTGGCTGTTCTGGAACTTGCCTTGTAGCCCAGGCTATCCTCAGACTCACAGAGATCTGCCTGCCTCTGCCTCCTGAGTGCTGGGATTAAAGGTGTGTGCCACCACCGCCAGGATGAGGCTACCTTTTTTTACACAGTGTTAGGGATCACACACAGGGTTGTGCACGTACTAGAGTGTTCTACCACCGAGTGGCATCCCCAGTCCCTCATCTGTTTCTCGACTTCTAGATGAAAGACTAAGAATAGCAAGGAGTGTAGAAGAAGCAAATGTCCTCCTTTCTTTAATTTTCTGCCATCAACAATGAATCTTGGATTTCAGCTCTGAAGACAGGACCAATTACAGCCTGACTCAAAAGGTTGCAATGGGAATTGAGTAAGACAAGTAGCATGTGCCCGGCACACCGTAGGCCAACAAAAGGATGTAAGTGTAAGTATGGTTCCAATTTTAACATTTCAGGAACATTTCTTTTACACATGTTTGCAGAATGTACGTTGGTGCGGTTCTTATGATGTGAGGTTTGGTAGCCATTACAAAAAGCGCAAGTCAGGTTACCTTCAACCCGGAAACTCTGCTCCAGTTACAGGCTATACTCGGGACACGCCCTCTGTCTACAGTTGTTCGTTATTTACAGTACCCGCGGTGAACAGCCACCTGTTTCAGACTGATGGAGTAAGTTGCGCGGACTAGGGAACCAGAGAGCTGAGAAAACGTGAGAGAGGACGCTCTTTATGCCTGGACGTGGAAAGATCTCTAAGAAGTAGTCTTCACGAAGAGAACCCAGGAGCAGAATGCTGTGTGTTACTGTCTGTGGTGTGAAGTCCCCAGGGGATGTAGGGGGTGGAAACATATGAGCAGAGTAGCGCGTAAGTATTGCCACATAAGCATTAAAATATCTCTGTGAGAGGGTGGGGTGATGGCTCAGTGTGCTCGTTAGCTTTTGTCGCCTGGACATAGACTAGGGTCATCTGGGAAGAGGGCGGAGCCTCAGCTGAGGGATTACCTCTATCAGCTTGTGTGCCAAGGGGCGGGGATTTCCTCGATTGATGATTGATGTGAGAGGGCCCCGCCCACTGTGGGAGGTACCATTCCCTGGGCCCACAGCCTGGGGTGTATAAGGAGGCAGGCCGAGCAAGCCGTGAGAGCGAGCCAGTTAAGCCGCCTTCCTTTGTGGTTCCTGTCTCTGTTCCCGCTGGGGTTCCTGCCATGACCTCCCTCAAGGATGGACTGTGATGTGGCAATGTAAGCCAAATCAACCACTTCCTCCCCAAGTTGATTTTGGTTGGAGTGTTTGATCACGGCAACAGGAAGCGAACTAGCATACTCATCCTGCACAAGCATGGAACCCGAGTTTGAGCTCCAGAACCCACATGAAAGGCTGGGTGTGGGCTATCGAGATGGCTCAGCCTGTAAGGGTGACTACCACCAAGCCTGACCTCCTGAGTGTGATCCCCAGGATCCACGTGGTAGAAAGAGAGGACTGATTCCTTCAAGTTGTCCTCTGACCTCCTCCACATGAGCAGGGTGGCACTCCCTCTAAAACACACTAAATATATAAATTCGATGAAAAAAAATAGAAAGACTGAGTGGCATGTGTTTGTAATTGCAGCTTGGTGAAGCAGAGAAAGGCAGATTCCTGGAGTTCTCTGGTCACCCAGCATAGCCTATTCAGAAAGTTCCAGGTCAGTGAGAAACTCTATAAACACACACACACACACACACACACACACACACACACGCACACACACACGCACACGCACACACACACACACACACGCACACACACACATGCACACGCATATGCATGCACACACATACACCCCCCAACCCAAAAACCATAAAACCATAAAACCAACCAAACAAAAGCAAAAAACAAAACTAAAACCCAAACCGAAATAGTAACGAAACTGTATCAAGTGAATGGCACTTAAGGGATGAGCTACTGACCTCTGGCATCTATGCCTGTACCTCGCAGTCAAAGACACCTGCACATATACAAAGAAAAGAAAAGAAAAGAGAAAAGAAAAAAAGAAAAAAAAAAACTCTAGAAGAGGTCACACAGCAGACCTGAAGTTCTGAGACATAGACGAGGGAGGGAAGATTTATCAGTTTAATAGTTACAATCTATAATCTTGAGAAGATGGTATTACTTTCTCAAAAATTAAAGTAAAATCTTATTAAGGAAATAAGGGGAGTTAGGGATGGGAGGGAGGGGGGCAGGGATGCAGGGATGCAGGGAGGGCAGGGCCGTGTCCCTGTGGTCCTGGGCAACATAAGACCCGTCAGCTACAACTGACGGGGTGGGAGCTAGGTGAGGTGTGTGTGTGTTGGGGGGGTTGTGGGGGGCAGATTGCGAAGTCTTATGCTGCGGCCTGGGAGATAAAGGAAGAGATAAGACCTGGCAGATAGAATCAGACACTAGGAAGATGGCCGCCCTGCCTGACAGGCTGTCTTCTGGCGGGGTGTGACGAAAGCTTGGGTTCCACCCTCATTTTCCACGCTGCTCCCACAACCCCCTCCTTTGCCCCCTTCTCACCCCGAAAGGGAGAACACAGGTTTGGCTTTGACACTCCCTCTCTGGAGAAAAGAACACAGAGTGAAGGTGGAGCCTGGAATGTTTTTGTTTTGTTTTGTTTGTTTGTTTGCCAATGGCCTGATTTCTTAGATGACTGTGCACGGTGAATGTCAGGATCAATGGCCCAGTCTTCTGGAAACGGGTGAGACTCAGGTATATGCCAGGCCCAGGTGTGATATTCTGGATTGTTCTCAGAGTGGTCACCTCCAGCTCAGGAGTTTTAGCAATTTCCTGTCGTTTGTGGTGTCCTTAGACAGCGGGTCAGATATGAGCAGGCTGGAGGGCCATTGTGGATGGTCCCCTCCCTCGTCATCAGCAGCTTGTAAAATTGGAAACCACAGGACTTTGATTATTGATCAAAAGAATGGGATGTGATTCACATCCCTGGCCCTGGGTAGATCTATGACCATCTCAACTGCTCAAAAAATCAGAATATTACTATACATGGCTGGAAGCTTTCTGGTAAAGGATAAAGACATCCGTTGTTCCCTTCATGAAAGTGAATCCAAACAAGCCTGTCAGTCACCTGAACAGGAAAACACACCCTAGGAAGTTATATTTTCTATAAAACTTTAAGAAATAGTATAAAGCCTACCTAAAGTAAGTTGACAAAATAGCCTCTCTGGATACTATCCACTGTCACCCTTGAGAGTGTCTTCCTCCTCCGTGGTCTCCCCGACACTGTCAACATCAGAGAGAGAGAGAGAGAGAGAGAGAGAGAGAGAGAGAGAGAGAGAGAGAGAGAGAGAGATATGTTCTCATTAGATGAAAAGACTGAACTCAAAGAGACCAGGATCACAATGCCGTTCCCAGGCTGAGCTGTCCCGCCCCACCCTTTCCCTCTTAAATTGAATTTAGTCCAGTTAGGAAGCCACATGTGACTGGTAAACAATGGTGACATGAGTCTCTAGTCTCAAGTTCACATAGACCCAGACAGGGGAATCACTGAGTCAGCGTCGTCTTCCAAAGGTTTCCCTGGACCACCTAGCGTCTTCCCCTTGTGAGGTGACACCAGACAGTGGAAGAAATTTGACTCGGTGTGCCCTAGGTGGATGTGTCTAACTTTGTGTTACCGACTCCTCGGGAAACTTGTTAGCCCAAGACCTGTTCGTTTTACACAGGGTCTTTACTTACAGGCTTGGCATCCTTCCCCGGGGGAGTGGTCTGTCTGACTTTCTCCTCCAGACACCCAGGGCTGATCCTCAAGTATCTGCCTCAGCACCAGCACAAGTCTGAACAGGGCCTGACACCCGTCTCCAACTACAACCCCATTGTCCCACGCCCTGGGAGGTGGGTCATGTCCCTGCTTGTTGGAGTTTGGGAACAGTGAAGCCTGAGTAGTCAGCCTATACCCTGTGTGGAGGGGGGGCCTTGTCTGGTGTGTGGCCCCAGGAATGTGTAAGAGGAAAACTCCAGGGAAGATCCAGGCCGTGGGAGAGCGGTGCAGGTGGCAATTGGCTCCTGCTCCCCAGAGGGTGTGTGTGTGGGGGGGGGGGGCAGCAAGTAGAAATAAGTAGCAAAAGGATGATGCAGGGGGATGGCTAAGAGGCTAAGGATGTCTTGAGGTGGGGTTCTGAAAACAGATCCTGAGAAGAGACTTGTGAAGTGGTTGCTCCAGGAGAAGAACAGAATGGGAGTGGAGATGTAGGGACGGAGAAGCTAATAGCCCAGGACACAGAGCTTGAATGAATAAAAATGACTCTCCTTGGGTGCGACGGAGGGATTCCCACCAAGTCACAGCCTTAACTCCCACGGTGGGCTCTGTCCACCTCTGTCCACGCCTCCAGAGTCTCTCCACCAAGGTGAACAGGGCTCTCATGCTCGCTCCTACCACCTAGGCATGACTAAGGGTTCCTCAAGACCTAGATCCTCTGTGGGTGCAACAGCTTGAGTCATCCGAAGACAAACCCCAGATGACCCTGAATGCAGGTCAGCAGCAGCAGGAAAGGACAGGAGTTCGAGACAGGTGATCAGAAAAAGTGGGAGAGAGGTAACGAAATCCGGGGGCGGGCTGCACCAAAGAAGGCTGTCTCCATGCCCTGGCTTTGTTTCTGCCTCTGTGACCCAGGCCAAATGACTTCATCTTACGGATGACGCGGTTTGCCAACTGTAAAGTGGGGACACTCCCTGTCACAGGGTGCTGTGCGGGATAAACAAGATAAGGAGAACAAAGGGTTCGGCACGAGGCCCCGGCACTCATTAGTAACTATCGAGGATGCCTTATCTGGCCACATCCTCCTGGGTGGGCTTAACCTCGGGGACTCCAGTGCAGGTGAACTAGAGGTCCAGGCCTCTGCTTCCGGGCTCTGTGTATCTCTTCCTTCCGGAAGTTTCCTCCCTCTCCTCCACTTCAGACCCTAGCCCCATTGGCCCTTAGCATCGTCTCTGAAGACCTTACGTTCTGTACCCAGGTACCTCCTCTCCTTGCACTTGCGCCCCGAAGCATTGAAGAGCAGATATCGGATGGTGGCAGACTGACGCTGCCTCTTGGAGTGTTAGGAGGCATTGGTAAGTCAGTGGTGGAGGGCAGGGTGCAGTGAGTCTCGGGTGTATATAGCTGCGTCCCCTTTGGGTTCTGCTCTGATTTGCAATCTTCTGGTGCATCATTTTCTCACCAGTCTCTCACTCAAGTTGGACTTCTTCCATTGCCTACCTTTAGTGCCTGGTGCCTCCTCCTGAAGGCCCAGGTGATAAACGCAGGCACAGTCACAATCATGAATAGGTATTTTTGGTTTCCTGTGTACATGTGCCAGATTCTATCTGTGCTTCATTTTCATGTAGAAATTATACTTATTTATTTATTTGTGTTTGTGTATGTACGTGTGTGTGTGCGTGCGTGTGTGTGTGTGTGTGTGTGTGTGTGTGTGTGTGTGTGTGCAACACATGCAATGGCTGGAAGCCAGAGAGCAACTTTCAGGAGTCAGCATCGTGTGGGTTCTGATGATGAAATTTAGGTTGTTAGGCTTGGCAAAAAACCACCTTTACCACCTGAACCATCTGGCCAGGTCCCCACGCCACCTTTTAAAAATGAGAGGCCCTTAAAGATTAGAACTTGCTCAAGTTCACACAGCTTCCAAACTTTAGAGCCTGGGTTACCACCCATCCATCACTGGGGCTCCTGCACTGTCCATCCCCAGAGACCAGATCTGTTACCGTGGTAGACTTCACATCCCCCAATCTCATCTGCCTCCCACCTCTGCTCTTACCATGGACTGACTTGCATCTCATCCATGAGAGGTATTGTCCATCTTCCTTGCTAGACCATGAGCCTTGAACGTAGGGGCTGTGTTTTTGTCTCTATGTTTTTATCCCTAGACACTGTCCTGGGGCCTGGCATATCACAGATGCTAAATATGTCTGATGACTAGTCTTCATCGTCACCTTCGCTCGATTTAGAATCACCATGGAGACACACCTCTGGGCATGTCCTTGAGGGTGTTTCCAGAGAGGATTAACTGAGGATGGGAGACCCACCCTGAACACGGGTGACATCATTCCACAGACTGAATGGAAAGGAGAAAGTGAGCTGAGCACCAGTGTTCACCTTTCTCTGCCTTCTGACCGACAGTACGGGGTTCCCACCACCACGCCTCTCCCACCACGATGGACCATGCCCTTAAATTGTCAGTCAAAACAAACCCCGTCTTCCTCAAGTTGCTTGCGACAGGCATTGTATCACAGCCATAAGGACAGTAACTAGTAAGTTATTGGTTTGCTAAATGGGTGATTTAGCCTAACCCACTCAGGAAGAGGAGTTATAAGAAACAATTTTACAAGATGATTCTAGATTATTTTCAAAGCAATTGTACCAATTCAGACCCTACCAGCTATGTGTAAGGGCTGTTGTGTTCCCATCTTCTCCGGCACCTGGCACTGTCACAGTATATTACGTGACAGGCACTTAATGGAACCTGTTCCCTTCTGGTCACATGGAGCCTTTGATGGTCAGTTCTTAACTGCCAACTTGCTACAGCCTAGAACTGCCTAAGGCAGAGGTTCTCAACCTGTGGGTCGTGACCCCTCAGGGGTTAAATGACCCTTTCTCAGGGGTTGCCTAAGACCATTGGAAGACACAGATATTTTACATTACAATTCACAACAGTAGCAAAATTACAGTGATGAAGTAGCTGCACACAATATTTTATGGTTGGGGGTCATCACAACACGAAGAACTGTATGAAAGAGTCACAACATCAGGAAGGTTGAGAACCACTGACCTAAGAAGACAGCCTTGATTGAGAGATTGTCTAGATGAGGTTGGCGTGAGGAAGGATGATGAGATCATTTCAATCAATCAACAGGTCCAGGAAGTCACACTGAGGACAGGGGGCTCCTTTGGTCTGGGTTTTGAAAGACTGAGGGTGTGTGTGTGTTCTAGGAGCAGGGTTAATGTCTAGAAGTCATGGGAGTGTGAAAGGACATGAAGGACGTAGTGAGAGTCACCCCTCACATGTCATGCAGACTGCTTGAACTTCACAAGCACTCGGAAACATTTGCCAACATCTGTGGTGAAGGAAATACCACTGTTTCCCAGACACTTGTCTCACTCTGAAAGGTCAGACTTTAACTACTTGTCTATCTCGTGCATGCGTGCGTGCGTGCATGCGTGCGTGCGTGCATGCGTGCGTGCGTGCGTGCGTGCATGTGTGTGTATGTGTGTGTGTGTGTGTGTGTATGTGTGTGTGGTATGTGTATGTGTGTGTGGTATGTGTGTACATGTATGTACAGGTGTGTGCACATGAAGAGATCAGAGTAGGGTATCAGGTGTACGTAGTCCTTGATTGCTCTTCACCTTACTATTTTATTTTACTCAAATGATGTTCTTATTAAAAATTGTACTGTGTTTTTATTTATTTATTCTGTGTGGGGTTGGGGAGGAGGATAGGTGTGGGAGCGATATGGTACAAGTGGAGGTCAAAGGTCAGTTTTCACGAATTATTTCTCTCCTTCCCCGTGTGGATGCCAGGGTTCAAATTCAGGAGGTCAGGCACATTTACCTTCTGAGCCAGCTCACCAGCCTCCTTCCATCTTATTTTTTGAGACAGGGTCTCTCCCTGAACCGGAAGCTCACAGTTTAGGGTAGAGTAGCTGGCCGGTGACTTCCCGCTCCCCAGTGCTGGGGTTATGGGCACTCATGGCCATGTCACCTACCTTTTTTTTTTTTTTTGGGTGTGTGTTGAGTGTTGGGGATTTGAACTTAGGTCCTCTTACTTTCAGAGCAAGTAGTCTTACCCACTGAGCCATCTCTCCAGCTCATAAATAGGACATTAGTGGTGTTAATGAGTTTCTAAGGCTTCCAGTGTGGTGGCTTGCCCGTATAGGTGTTTCTGCCACTGTACTGAGCTGGTGCTGAGAAAGTCACAGTGCTCAGTGTTGTCCCATTGTGATGGCATACGATTGTCTGGAGAGGAATTAAAATCTATTCTATTCTTCACTATATAAGCCAAACATACCTGTAGACTGTGCTCAGTTCCAGGGTCCAAATTTTAGAACAGATCATGTGATGACCAATGTGGTGTTCTGATATAGGTTATACCATGACTCCCTGCAAAAGGATGAGTGAGATCCTAACTCCCAGTATCTTATATAAATACCATGTACTAACCAGCTAGAGCCACCAAGGCACTGATACCCCACAGCATATGGGTACCTCAAAATAGGACCTTTTTGTTTGTTTTTCCACACAAGGTTTCTCTGTGTTGCAGTTCTGGCTGTCGTGGAACTCACTCTGTAGACCAGGCTGGCCTCGAACTCACAGAGATCCACCTGTTTCTGCCTCCCAAGAGCTGGGATTAAAGGCGTGCACCACTACTACCCGGTTATGACCTCATTTTCAAACGAGATGGTTGTATTTATGCTTAGGTAAGATGAGGTCATAATGGGGTAACTTTGGTCCCGGATGCAATATGACCAGTGTCTTGATAAAAGAAAGCCAGGTGAAGAGACAGAGACATGCACAGAAGGAAGGTAGTGTGAAGTGTTATAGAGAGAAGACAGTTGTCAACACGGGGAGAAGGGCCTAGAACAATTCCTCTCCTCGCAGCCTACAGGAGGGGCAACCTTACTGACGTTGATCACAGATTCCTAGCCTCCAGCACAGACACACCATGGCTTCTTGCTGATTCAGCCATCTTGTCTGGGGTGGCTTTGTTTCAGCAGCCTTAGCAAAAGGAAATAGCTCCCAGTCTCCATTCTGTCTTCCCAGCGAAGGATGATGGGCAGCTTGGGCTTGTGACCTAAGAGATACCAAGCAAAGGAGGAGGAGGACTTTCTGTTGTTGCTGCTCTTGGCCAGTACAGTGTTTTGAATGAGAATGACCCCCATATGCTCTTAGATTTGAATACTTGGTACCCAGGGAGTGGCACTATTTGAAAGGATTAGGGGGCGTGGCTTTGTTGGAGCAAGTGTGTCACTGGGGGTGGTCTTTGAGTTTTCAAAAAGCCTGTTGCAAGCCCAGAGTCTCTCTCTTCCTGTTGCTTGCAGATCCAGATGTAGAACTCTCAGGAACCTCTCCAGCAACATATCTGCCTGTGCGCTGACATGCTGCCCACCATGATGAAGATGGACTAAACCTCTGAAACCGTAAGCAAGCCCCAGTGAAATGCTTTTCTGTATAAGAGTTGCTGCCATGGTTCTGGTGTCTCTTCACAGCAATAGAACCCTGACTAAGACACCAAGGAACAAATACACTCTTCTCCTCAAAGGGAAATTGAAGGGTAGGAACACCAGGAAGGCTGGCCACCATCCTGCTCTCCAAAGATGGAAAAGTCTCCCCAGTGCCATGAGGAGCGTCTGGATGAAAGCTTTGCCTGGAGTGGGCGGCCTCAGTAAATCCCCTTCATCGTTTTAGCCCCTTTGGATTGATTTTCCACGACAGGCAACTTGAAAGCAATGTCAATGATGCAGATGCCAACTGGCACACATTTCTTCAGGGAAGGCTAATCAGCATGATGAGGGCCTATTAGGAGCAACCAGGTAAAACAGGGATTTCCAGCCCCCTCCCCCCAGGCTGCCTTCCATAGGGAAAGAGCTGTCTCTTGAGAGGAGAATCAGCCTTTCTATGCGGTCCCAGAAGGCAAGCCTGATGAGACAGGTCCTCCTAGGCACGGGCAACAAGGAAATCTAGTCTCTGTGGAGCATTCTAAGATAAGGATAAAAGTCACAGAACGTAGATGTGTTTGCATTAGCGTTGCGTGCCGGAGACTCTAAACTACCTCGGTGATAAAATATCCCATCTTGCATGGACAGGCAGTTCCCACCACACCTCCACCATTTGCTATACCACTGCCAATGAGGAGAAATTATAGGGAACTCAGTTTCCAAGCTAATAAAGAAAGAAAGAGCTTTCTAACGGGCAATAACGGATGGAATGTGCTATCTTGGGGCTGATGAATTATCCATCGCTGGTGCTTTGCAAATAGAAGCTGGGATGTTATTCAGCTGATGACTGAAGTCAGTGGAGGATTACCTTAAGTGACCTTAAAGGCATCCGCTGGTTCCACGAGTCTCTGTAAAGAATGGTAAGTAAATGACTGAGATAACTCTGTTCAATTCAGAAAAGGGTAAAGAGGAGGGCCCTTCGGGTGATTCCCATGAGGACGTGAGTTGAGATGAGGTAGAAATATCCCTGATCAATTGCAGGAGTATTAACATTCTCATGGACATTGGGAATCTACACACTCAGAATTCTAAAATTAGGAAGTGAAATCTGTGGTTACTAATTGTAAGAAATACAGCATCCAGGGCTGGAGAGATGGCTCAGCAGTTAAGAGCACTGGTTGCTCTTCCAGAGGACTCAGGTTCACTTCCCAGCACCTACATGACAGCCTACAACTATCTGTAACTCCAGTCCCAGAGGATCTGACCCACTCTTTTGGCCTTCATAAACACCAGGCACACACACAGCATACAGACATACATACAGGCAAAACACTCACTTATAGGCACAAAAATAATTTAAATATGGAAATTTTGAAGCCAGAGGATGTGCTCTGAGAGGCAGGAGTTCCAAAATCTAGAAGGTCACCGAAAAGAAGAAAGACGTAAGTATAACATTGAGACCCCAGAGGGAGTGGTCACATGCCATCAGGCTAAACTAGTTAGGTGACTCCACCCTCCACACAGCTCCCACCTCAGAAAGCCAAAGTGGCCATGTAAGTTACATCTGTGAGTTCTAGGTCTTTAGGACTCAGAACCACATACCTGTGCATTGAGGACACCATACAATTATCTCCTTGATATTGCACTAAGGACACTGCCATTCTCTCCAGTTGACAGATAAGTGAACAGAAGGTTACCTTTGTTCTAGGTTATCCAGCCAGAAAGTGATAGTCTTTCAGCCAGAAGTAAGGTCTCCTCGGGGCATACATGCTGTGAGATTGTGTCTTCTATTTGACAGCGGACCTACACCAAGAAATTTCAACAATGCGGCTGCCTAAACAAGACCTGAACAACGGTAACACCAGTTGACAAGCCAGAGCAGAAACAGGAAATCTCATGGGGCCCTGCCCCTAGATGAAGAGTTATAGGCAATTAATGATGCAAATACAGTACACATTAATGACTGTTGAGAGAGGAAGAATTAGTCTTCCCCAAGGATGAGGCTCCTGATAGGTTACCTAATCCCACACCATCAGCCCTAAACATATACATAATATATATATATGTGTGTGTGTGTGTGTGTGTGTGTGTGTGTGTGTGTGTGTGTGCGCGCGCAACACTAAATGGACTTGGCAGGTTGTACTTAAATATTTATACACACACACACACACACACACACACACACACACACACACACACACACACACACAAAGAGATGCCATGAATTTGCAAGGGAGAAGGGAGGGACATGAGAGGGATTAGGGGGAGGAGACAGAGGCAGAAAATGATGCAAATACAGTACACATAAAAGAAACTCAAAACTGGTTTGAAAAATAAAATTTCAAAACAATAGGAGCTAGA